CGAGGTCCAGAATTTTGGAAGCGTCGAAGCCAGAAGACGAATCGGCGACGATAAATGTGTCTGCCGCAGGGAGCGATTATTTTGAGATCGCCAAAACAACTTGTTATTGACGCAGGCGAGCCGGCCCCGAAAGCCGGGCCGGCGTCCAACGCCGCGCCAGCTCAGCCGATATCACGCGCGGATAATTGTTGCCAAGGATTTATTGCCGCCAGGTGGGTAACCAATGCGGCAGAAGGCCTTCTTAGCGTCTCTCTTGCGGCGGACCCCTTTATCGCCGTATTTTCTCTCGAATGGGCCGTAAGTCAAACTGTCGGAAGACACGCCTGTTGTGGGAGCGGCGGGCGGCGTGCGTGCGGCACACAGGCCCACTTTCAGCGTCCCGCCGCGCCGGCGGCCTCTTCATCTGCAGGGGCGGTGATTCAGTGCGGCCGGCGCGGGTCAAGCGCATACGGCCACCTCTGACCCGCGGAGAGCGGCCGCACATAATGAAGACGCCGCGCTGCCGGCCCCAGAAGCGGGCCCGGGCCCGGACTTTGGGCCGGGCAGCGGGGCAGGACGACGTCGGCAGCTCAGGCAGCCAGACTGTCAAGGGCTGGTGTAATGGTGGCGGCGGATCTTCTGTGAGGTTGGCGCGCGGGGGGGGGGGGGGCAAGTGATGTTTGCCATGCCTCTTCCGCTTCTTTCCACGCAGCCATAAGGTTGATACGAAGTCATGCCGATGTTAGGGGGAGCTGTTACCCCTGAGCCCCGCTGCTACAGTGGTGCTCTTCAAATGGATCAGGCTTCAATAGAAACGCGAGGGAAGCGAGCTAGGCATCTGATCAAGTAAGACAATAGTACAAAAACGTCGGCATGAAGTGCGCTGGAAACCAGACCGAGGGGAATCCTAATACCGTCGTTACTGTTTGTAAGTGGCTTTGTTGAAATGTTGATTGTGGAGACCTCTAGTATAATCAGTGGCTGGTTTCTGTGGTGCGCGCGTGTGTGTGTATGTGTGTGTGTGTGTCTGAAAATGGCATGTTGTTAAAAACAATCAATACAAACTTCATGGTCAAGCGCTGATAGTTGCTTCCAAGTTCACTGAATGTCACCTGTCAGCGTCTCGAAATGCACACGAATCGGTCGATTTTGGTGATTGTAATCATCATTATTTTCATCATGTACTTGAATGTGTAGAGCAGTACCATGGCCTTCATGGCAAGAGCCCTTATATACGCAAGTTCATTTGCAAGCTTAGAACCTTCGGGAGCACAAATATAACAACACACTATCAGGGTGAGTGCGGCAAAACTTTTGCTGATTACGGCTCAGCATCCACCGCACCTGCACGTGAAACTCGGCCGCGGTCTCGACGGCGGGCACGCCCGCCGGCAGCCCACTCTCCTCGGCTGCCGCACGGAGCATCTTCGTGCGCGATAGGTGTGGATTCGAGGCGCACACGGCACAGCGTTCAGCTTCGGTTTTTTTCGGCGGATGCATTCTCGAGGAACGACGGCAAATCTCTGAGCCCTGTAGGTGAGAGTTCGTTCTGCATGCGATGCACGAAAGCTACTCGTAAGTCTTAATGAGGTACATGCCAGGGCCGTTTCAGTTCAGCTCAGGGCAATGCCGGACTATTTCCGTGTGTTTAACTTTAGTTGTAACATTATCATGACAACGCCTTAACCATCTTGCCACTACGGCTGACTGTTTTTTGTGTGCTTGCGTTGGGTCGCCGGGTCGTACCCGTCCAAGCTGTACCATATAAAGTTGCAAGCGGGGAAACAATCGTATCCACCTTAAGTTTGTATTTTTTGGTTAGTGGGCGCGAGAACTTGGAACACCAGCCAACGTTGCTTGTCAACATCGCACCACGGCGAAAATATGTCGTTCGAAAGTGAAGTTGTTGTTCAAGACTAGCTTCGATAAGTTTGGAACTAGCTGAAGGACCTATTGTTGCTTCTTCGAAAAGAACCGCAAAACTTTGACCAATCCTTCTCTGATGTTATGATATAAAAACACGTTTAGTTTTTGTAGGTTAATGTTGATAGCATTGTGAACAAGCTCACCGCTTGGCCCTGCTCAGACTAGTGTCCATTTGTCGTTCCAGTTCCGCTGACAGCCCACTAAGTCAACACAATACACTGGTTGACATGCTATGGAGGCAATGCGCATCCCTGTATATTCATCGATTTGAAATTGGCCTTACATTAAGAGGGTCGTTCGTGTCAAAATGTGAAGTAGTACTGCTCAGACAACACACCACCTTGTCGTTGCAACCTTCTCAGTCAAGAGGACCGTTGTTAAGAAGACAGGTGGCTCAAACTACCCAGTCACTGTCCGTGCCAACGGCAACGCTCCGCAAATTGCCCGCCCTGCTAAGCTGATCACGCAAATCAGTGGTTATTTGTGTCCCTGACACATGGTGCGCACTGAAACATCAGTCTAGCAAAGAATTTGAACCCGCGTGGCTTTTACGTATGGCGTTCTTCTCAGCAGCAGCATGTGCTACCTTTGATCTTTACAGCATTTTCTTGTCCAATCTGGCCCGAAGGCGTAGCAGAACGTTGGATCCGCCTTCGCCACAGCTTCGGCATATTTGTGTTGCATGCGCGGATGGAACACGTTGGGATCCCAGGTGGGGACTCCCAGGTATGGCACACGGCACAAGTACGGCTCAAAGCTGACTCAAGTGGATGCAATGCAAATATTTTCCATGTTCGGCGATTCATCTTCGGGTATTTCGTTCCAAAACGGGATTGTTCATTTACAGAGTTGCCATTATGATGCATAATACAAAACCGCGACACTACTGATGTTTTCTGAACAGCTCTTGTGTATTTATGCTCGTCTGCCAAGTGGCAAATGCTTGGATAGATCATGAGAGAACAACGATATGTCCGGGGATATCCCTAAATAAATTAATCGAATTCCAGGGCTACGCATTTAAGTCTGGGCCAAAACAAATCGTATCTTATCGGCTCTCGGTGTCATCAAAACATGCTTTCCGATCAAACATCTATCGCCGTTACAAAACAAGAATGGCGTAGATCAATTCCGACTTAGCTCATTTCGTTTCCCTATTTCCTAAGCTATAAAATCGTTTGATGTGCGACCGACGAACGTCCGTCAACACCTCATCTGCAGTCGCTCCAGACAACTCGCGCTTATTCCGAGAGAGCGACCTAACGAAAATAGGTGCTATGCTGCGTTACTTTCAGCCCAGCACACCCTGCGGATCATTCCAATGAGTATTTTACGGCGCGAGCGCCCGTGCTACGGTCCGGCTGCAGGTGCGAGCTGTCGGGTGTTGTCGGCCCGGCTGTCTCGTAAAGTCGCTCCCCCTCAGGCGCGAGCCGGCACCAGTCGATACCCGCTGCTCGCAGCCATCACACCCCGCCCAAACAAGCTCGTGCGCGGTTTACGGCGCCGCGGCGAGTCGGCCGCCGCCGAGGGCGGACGTAGCAATGGACGGGGCCAAAGGAAGGAGAGCGACGCTGACCGGCTGTGGTGGAAAGAGCTTCTCACCTAACGATCTCCTTACGATTTGGTACATGGGTAAAGGCACCCCCGTCGGGGACATGTGGGTTTGACACGGAGTGTCCTAGCACCACGTCAAGGACCATGCCGCACTAGCTCTCAACCGACTCGCGTGGCCGAACAAAGTCAGACCCCCGTTCTGAACCGATTCTGAACCAGCACGAAACCGGCCAGCCGGAGGGATTTCGAACGGGCCTAACCCGCGACCGCCGCCGGGACCGGGCCTCGCCAGATCCCGGACCCTGACCGGGACCTGACCTCGTCACACCCGGACCCTGACCGGGACCTGGCCTCGTCACACCCCGGACCCGGACAGGGTCCGAATTACGCCACATCCCGGACCCTGACCGGGACCTGGCCTCGCCATACCCCCGATCCGGACCGGGTCCGAATTACGCCATACCACGGACCCTGACCGGGACCTGGCCTCGCCACACCCCGGACCCTGACCGGGACCTGGCCTCACCACACCCCGGACCCTGACCGGGACCTGGCCTCGCCATATCTCGGACCCTGACCGGGGCCTGGCCTCGTCACACCCCGAACCCGGACCGGGTCCGAATTACGCCATACCACGGACCCTGACCGGGACCTGGCCTCGCCACACCCCGGACCCTGACCGGGACCTGGCCTCACCACACCCCGGACCCTGACCGGGACCTGGCCTCGCCATATCTCGGATCCGGACCGGGACCTGGCCTCACCATACCCCGGATCCGGACCGTGCCCGGGCCTCACCACACCCCGGACCCTGACCGGGGACCTGGCCTCGCCATACCCCGGACCCGGACCGGGACGGGCCGGCGTGGCGCGCCGGCCGTCTCCGACGACGCGTCGCCTGAGCGCGGCCGCCGATACCGACGCTTCTGCCGGGCGGAAAGGCGCTTAGTACCCGGCCGTCGGGTGGGCGCGCTCTTTGTCTCTGGGCAGATGGTTTTAGGGCGGACACGCTCGGGCGCATCGGAAAGATAACGCCGCATTATCCATCACCGGCGCGCCGAGCAGCGCGCGCTATGGGCCAGCGCGCCGTGCATGCTCCGGCCTCCCATCGGGTCCCCTGGGTGTTGGCGAAAAAACGCGCCGGCTCCATGAGGGGAAAACACGACTTTGCTCTCGCATCGCTCACTTTTTGCCGGCGGCCGCGCTCGCGCCGATAAAAGATTTGCGAGGAAACGTGATAAGAAGTTGTGGACTTGAGGCTTCAAAGCGGCTAAGTAAACAGGGCTAATGACGGCATCTAGAAGCTAGTACATCAACCTCTTCAAAACAAACAGGGGCGATGCTTCATCTCACAGCACCAAAACGAAACGCAAAAATGGAGCGACAAAAACGTGACCTATTTTAGATGCCCAGGCGCAGATCAGCATATGTAACACAAGATCGGTGATTGATTCGGCAGCTGATCCCGACGGCGAACAAGCAGATCATCTGTCGGACGCGGCAGGCCGCCGGGCACTGATCCGCACCTCCCCCTGCTCCAGGTGGCGATCAAAATCATCGACGTCGACAAGGTGAAGGAGGACTACGTGCGCCGCAACCTGGGCCGGGAGGTGAAGGTGCTGTCGCGCCTGCTGCACCCCAACATCGTGCGCCTGTACGAGACCATCATGGTGAGCATGACCACTGGCCCCGTGCGGAGCACGCCGCCTGTAACTACGTCGGGTACCCCGCGGCGGCCTGACTTTGGACGCGCACTGATACACCCGTTTTTCGTCGGTCACGGGGTGTCATCGACAGCACACGTGCCCCCGGCGGTGCCGACCGAACCGCTGCGAAAAAATAGTGGCGCCACTCGCTTCCGTCGAGCAGCTGGCTTTTATTGCAGGCCGTCTCGAGATATTAATGCTTCCGCGACTTTTTATCAAGGCGCTGCCATCCATCACCGAGGAGACAATGGTCAGAAGCGGGCGGCGCGTCCCGGCCAAAACCATTACCGCACGCTCGACTGTATTTCATTTAGGGGGAGAGCCGGCGGCGGCCCCCGGCGGCGGCGGCGGCGCTGGCCCCCAGTCGGGGCGGCGTGGTCGCATCGGACCGGAACCATTCCAGACCTCGTGCGGAAATATATTGCACGGACGCCCGTTCCATCGATGGTCGGAACGAGGCAGTGGACGGCGCTGCGTGGACGAATTGGCCGCGCTTGTGGCGCCGTCAGTGCGCACGACGACGGACGGTAGGGGACGGGAGCCGCTTTGAATCTGGGGATCGCCGGGCGAGCTATGCGGGTCGTGCGGGCGCCGCGGCGCGCCGGGATGTGACCACGGAAGGGGAGCAGGGAGACGCGCGGACGCGCTGCCTGTGGCGGAATGGGGCCGGAACAGGGAGTGGAGGAGCTGGGGATGGCGAGGAACCAGCCACCGCCAGTGAGAGATGAGGGTAGAAGGACCAGCCCGAGGTGGCAGTTTATACATGAGGTGGTAACGCTCCTCGCTGCCACCCGCGCGAGGAGGACTTGTGACTTACATAATTGCGAAGTGCAACTCTCAAATTAAGAAAGTTACATGTGATTTTGAAGGGTGGTCCGTAGTCTGTAATAGCCTCGATGATGCTGCCTAACGAAGCTATGTGTAGATAATTCCGTACATTGAGTAACATGTGAACGTAGTGCTCCTTATCAACAAAGATATGACCATTTTTATGACAAACTAGACAGCACATCATTAGCCCAAGTCACATAGACCCCTTTCATGTGAACTCCCATTCAGCCACCAGCCGTGCACGATTTATGTTGATGGGACGTCCATGAGCCATATCGGCGTCCACGCTGTCAAATCATTATCGTTGATCGTTATCTATGAAACAGTTGACACCAAATTGGGATGCAACAAAAACTGAACGACCTGACTGTAAATAAATTCATGTGGGAAGACCTCTTTTCAAACCGGGGCGTCCACAGTAGCTGATCGTAAACTCTGCACACAAAAACGAGTAGGAGAGGAATTTTACGTCGCCTTAAAACCGCCTAACAATGGATGACTAAATTACCTATCCCTTGGTGTGACGGGCAGTTAAAGACGGGCCGGGCCTCGGCCTTTGCGGATCCTTTGAACCCAATCTTGTGGGATTGCAATTAAATTAGCCGCAAGTCTACGCTTTGAGTCACGCAACTGGGTCAGCTAGAGGTCACGCAGGCTGGCGTCTCGCCAGCCAGAGGGCATGTTCATTGTACGCCGCGGTGGAGCTGAACCCGGTCCGGAGCTTTTCGCCGGCCCTGACAAATGTTCTGCTCAGCACGATAGAGCTTCGGCAGTGCTCCCCGAGGGCATTGCGCTTGTGCGTTTGAGATGGAAGCCGATTAAAGCGAACAGCGGCGACTTGCAATCTACATAGTGGCACGAAGAGGCTACGGTTCAATCGCAAAATGGCTGCCGCGAAATTGCGATGGCTTTGATCATGGATGAAAAGGAAATTTGCGACGCGTGGCACACTCATCTATGCTAAAACAGCATTGCATTTTCTTTCGTGCGTGGTACAAGTATAGCTGCCTCTCTCCGAAACGGTTTTCCCGCTCGTAACATTACCTTACATGGAATAATGTCACACTAAAACACTCTCGATGTGTGGATAAGTGAACGATCACGTAAATACGGGTTTTATACGGCATTTACACTGTAACGCTCTTAGTTTCATAAAATTAGTCCCGGGAAAGAATGCGAGAACAAAGTACAATGGGTAAATGATGGTTGTTGGTTTATTTATTTCAATTTTGCATCCCCTCAACTCTTTTCATGCACGACGCACTGAATGGAAAATGTTTCGTACAGACTACATTCAAAAATATATGGTAGACAAGAAGGCATGCACTCCGCATTTTACGCCCAGGCCTGGTGCCGGGGCCTGTTTCGCACGGGAGACTGTCATTCACTCGTTTTGGCACTTCAATGTCATTGCTGGATCAGCCCCTAATCGGCAGTTGGCCTGGTCAGCTCAGCTTCAGCAAAAAGCATCAGCTCATGGCATTAATCGACCAGTAATGAGCTGAAGTCCGTTCAAGAGAGGGACGAAGCGCTCCCCTGCTTCCAAAAACCTACATTCACGTGCGTTACATGCGGTCAGAGGTGACGTGTTGTGTACATTTTCAGGGGGGGGGGGTTGGATGACGTAGCCTGCTAGCGATATAAGACTGAAAGTTAGGTATGAGGCCGTGTGTGGAAAGGCCTAGTCTCAAGAAGTAAACATTACCGTTGAGCCCCTCACTTCATCCCACCTTTTAAAAGTGCCACCCGTGTGCATAGCTGATAATTGGTATTGGGCAATCAATGACAGTCACTTTATCAAGGTCAGACAGACTTTTAAAAACGTCATACTTTGGCAAAACCAAGAACGACATCCAAGAGAGAAGGTTTGTTAAGAACCGTTTCTTTGCAAACGTCTTAAGCTAGCTTTAACTCTGAAAGTGGGCGACCATACACGACGCATGTGGCAGGTCAAAGAGTCATTTTCAGGACCCACAAGAGATGCGGCGTTTGTGAACCACAAGGACTTGAAAAAGATGTCTGGGCAGCATGAACTGGTTGACATATCCGCTCTACTACAATATCAGGTCTTAATTGCCATTTTCCGAATTTTCCAGAACGCTTAGAACAAGCAAAGGCAAACAGACATCAGTTATTCGCAAGTCATTTCACGTTAGAAGTTACTGTGCTATGCTTCATCAGTGGCTTCCCTTTTCTAGACAGCCAAGTGTCCGTTTTGTGCTGGTGATAGATGCATCCAAATCGGCCGCCGGCGTCGCGCGCTTCTGCTTCTCGCGTCCCCTGGCCCTGCCTGTCGTCCTGCGCGGGTTGACAGAACACGTTCGGGCACAGTTCCTGCAGTCATCACCTCTCCGTTTGTTTGGACTCGGATATCACCAGGACGGCCGACTGCTGTTCTGCGTCACTCAAGAGCTCGGCCCTTTGCATTCCCAGCCGCCGGCGCCACCTCCCCCCTCCCCACTCCCACCTCAACCCCCACCATCATTCAGATCGAGCATGCAGGCTGGCGGTGACAAAAACGCATTCGACACACCGGCATGACAAAAACCGGTCCGGGGCTGTACTGCCGAGTTGTGAAGCTCGGATGAGGACGGATCTGAGGCAGGGGAGTCCACGCAGCCGAGAGAGGACGATTTGTCAGCTGCTGCTGTTCGTTTTTGTCCGGCACTTCGATCCGTGCTGTTTTTGTTGTCACGCTTTTTTCCGGCACTGGAGCGCAGTCGTGTTTAAGGCCTGCTTTAGACGCAAATAGATGAGTTTCGGCATTCATTTTGACAGATCCAATAACAGTTTATCCCGATATGCTTTACTGCCGAAGCCCTCCTACTCGTGGGCAAAAAGACCGCTCGAAACGTGGAATTGAAAAGGCGGGTGGAAAAAGGCAGCTGCGGAAAGATTTACAGATGTTTTTGGCCGCTCCCGAATGACTGCAACCTGGTATGTGACAGATGACCCAGGGTCCTGGCGCCGCACAGGCGACACGTGCATTTACTAACGGCCATCCAGACTCATCCGTCATAGAGTTCGTTGTGAGCTTGGGTGACTTGGCTTCAGCGATTCGTTCGTCACCCTGATGTTTTCAATAGGTTTCACCCCCTAAGGAACGCCTGATTCTGCCGGCCACTATTTTAAACCGGCACTAAGAAAGCGTATGTAGAGATGAGACGCGTCACTCCAATGTACCAAAAACTGATGTTTTCCTATGTTTTCAGCGCCATGTCTGGAGCTAGTGCATCTGGATTTGTGCGTCGGGATCAGACGTCTACCCCCTGCCCCCCCCCCCCCCCCCCCACGTTCCGTCGGCCACGTCGCGGTCCGCCGCCGACGTCAACAGCCGCCCCAGGGCTGTTGTCGGCGGCTTCCAATCGCTGATTCGTATTCTGGCAGCGTCTCATTCGCAAAGTTTGTCATTTCGTCGGACGAGAAAGGGACCGTGTGACGGTTTTCAAAGTCCGATGGGTTTTCACCGGCGACCGAACTTTTTGATTCAATCCCGCGGGCGCTGCACCGGAGCAAAAACTCGAGGGTGCCTCTCAATTGTGCGCGGCCGAGAATGAATGGCAATGTTCCTGTTCGGCCGGTGGCGGACCGCGAGACCATTATCGACAAGTTTGCGATTTTAAGGAGTGTTTAAAATCCCCCCTTCTCCGATCTTTCCACACACGCTGCTTTACACTCTGGTTGAGGATAAAGAAAGTTTTTACAGCACCGTGTTGTGGAAAATCGCTTCCAAATGCAATTCACCTGCCTGGCTGCCTAGTATGAACATTTAAAAGTGTAATATCTCAGACTCTTCCAGTCGCGTGGATTTAACGTTAGCTGTAAACAAGTTCTGTTTTAGATCAAAGACAGTACAGGCGTGCGTCAAGAGGCGAACATCTTTGTGTAATGCACACACACGGACTGTCTCTGTTAATGGACAATGGTATTGATCTATTTGCTGCAGCCGAGCGCTCTCCAAATGTAACCACGTGCATATTTTTTTGTCATTAACAAAGGTCATTCGTTTTCTGAACCGACTTTTATTGTAACAGATTTTTGCGTATTAACTAGGCGCGCACATAGTTTAAAAAATCTAATGTATTTTATTGGGTGCATAATCCGGCTCCGGTATTTACAATCTTTGACAGATGCAAACCAATACAACCTTGCACAATAGGTCCGCACACATTCATGTCCGTGTAAGGTCATAGTTGGACGCAAATTTCTAATCATTTGCTCATACCAGTTTATGCCAGGCGAACTCGTCGGATGTCTGTCACTCAAGGCCAAACAACTGTGCAAAGCTGGGTATAGCTTTACATTCGGCCAGGCTCTGAGCCGCATGACCCCGGCCTGGCCTGACCCTGGTCGCATGACTCCCTGCCTGGTCTGACCCTGTGCCACATGACTCCCCGCCTGGTCTGACCCTGTGCCGCACGACTCCCCGCCTGACCTGGCCCTGTGCCGCACGACTCCCGCCTGGTCTGACCCTGGCCGCAAGACTCCCCGTCTAACCTGGCCCTGTGCCGCAGGTCTCCCCGCCTGACCTGGCCCTGTGCCGCATGTCTCCCCGCCTGATCTGGCCCTGTTTCCCGCGACTCCGCGCCACCGAAACTCCGCACTGACTCGGCCCTGTTCCGCAGTCGGGTCACCTCTACTGTCTGGTGATGGAGTACGCGCCGGGCGGTGACCTGTCGTCGCTGGTGAAGGCACAGAGGGAGGGCCGGTTCCCCGAGGGCCGGGCCCGTCCCTTCTGCCGCCAGCTGGTCTCGGCTCTCACCTACATGCACGGTCGCGGCATCATCCACAGGTCAGGGACCAACCGGCGACCGTGGCGTCATACGCAGGTCAAGGATCAGGCCTGTCGCAGTGAGGTCGCCCACGGGTCGAAGGCAGACTCGCGGCACGGCAGCGTACTTATGCCGCTGACAGACTTGTGACCGTGGGTCATGCCCAGGCCAGTAGCAGACTTATAAGGTCAGGGTGCAGACAGACGACCGAAGGATCGCATGCAGATCATGGGTAGATTTGTGACTGGGGCCTCATGCACCGGTCAGGAGGGAGCTTGCCGCTGTCAGGGAACATAGGTATGGGACAGGCAGGGAGGTAGCAGAGACAGGTCAGAGGGAGATGCACAGGGCCACTTCAAGGGAGATACACCAGACAAGTCAGGGGAGATACACAGGGACAGGCCGGGGAAGACAATCATGGACAGGCTAGAGGAAGATACACAGGGGCAGGTCAAGGGGAGATGAATATAGGCAGGTCAGGCGAGATATAGATCAGGGGGATATACAGACAAATCAGGGGAGATACATGGGGACAGGAAAGGGAAGATACACATTGAGAGGTTAGGGGAGATACATATGGACAGGCCATGGGAAACACAAGTGAACAGGTCAGGGAAAGATACACAGGGACAGGTCGGGGGAGATACATATGAACAGGTCAGGGAGATACATATGGACAGATCAGAGGAGACGCACAGGGACAGGTCAGGGGAGATACACATGGAGAAGCAAGGGGAGATACTTATGAACAGGTCAAGAAAAGGTAGACAGGGACAGGCCAGGGAAAGATACCCAGGGACGGGTCGGGGGAAATACACGCGGACAAGTCAGGGAAAGATACACATTAACAGGTCATGGGAAGATGCACAGGGACGGGTCGGAGGAAATATACATGGGCAAGTCAGGGAAAGATACACATAACAGGTCATGGGACGATACACAGGTCAGAGGCAGACTAGGTCACAGGTCAGGGTTGCGTAGGTCAAGGGTAGGCCTGTGACTAAGGGATCATACACCGGTCAAGGGCAGGTCAGTGGCTGACGCAACTCACACACAGCAATTGAAGGCCTGTGTATGCAGCAGCGCACTCAAAACGGAGCAACCTTGTCACCGCGGCATCATGACTAGGTTTGTACGAACTGACTTGTGGTGTGCATCAACATGCGAAAATCGAACGCTTTTGATCAGCTTCGGCGGAGTAGGCGAGCGGTCGCTTCTTTTGAAAGAGTCGCGAGTGCGGCTTCACTTGCTGATGATTGGAAGAACTGGAGTGTATTTTGGACTCAACCTTTGCATGTAACGCCTTAGGCGTGGCGCCAAATTTCAATGTGGATCTGGGGATGCGCCCTGTCTTCCACGTCTACTACAGCTCACCTCCAGGAGCCGAACTTCAAATGGAAAACGAAATGAATGACCAGTCAGATGTTATTTAGGATACAGGTCACCATTAGTTGCGTCACAACTGTAATGAGCTGATATGCTAGCCGTCCAGATGTATTGTTGACAGCGGATGTGTCAACCAAAAGAGGTATTAGGCGTATTCCTATCATTCATTGAGCACGTCGGTGCGTTGCGCAAGTGCCGATCGGCTGAGCTGCTGTTCAGCACTCCGAAGTGCGCCTTTGGCAATCGTCGCAATAAAGCACATGGGCCGCAATACAACAATGTTATTTGGTTGTAAAAAACACCAATGCAAGCTCAGGTGGGGAGACATGACCTCCGCTTCATGACCTTTCGCCGTCAACGCGCCCCACAGCTCCAAGTCATCACCAACGCAACCAGAGCAAAAAGTTGCATCGAGCTGTCGTAAAAGCGACAATTATGGCGCTCATAACATTCGTTGTGCCCTGAAATGTTTGATGTTCCGCTATGCTCTCGCTGGACTCTGTTTTTCAGGGCGCATGCCACGAGTTCGAATGTTTTGTGGCGACGGCGCCTCGAGTGGCAGGCTGCAGTTGATTCTTCTGATGAATGCGGGCAACATCGCAAACCGCATGCACCCCAGCGGCTTCTATCATTGGGGCAGGGGCAGCGACTTTTTCTCGAAATTCACATACCTATGTATATATATATATATATATATATATATATATATATATATAGCTTGGGTATATACTATAGCTATATATATTATTATAATATATATAATAACTATATATATATTATTATAGTGTATATAATAGAGCTTATATATTATTTTTGATACACGCATTGTTAAAAGTCAAAGTGGACTCAGCATTGATGATGTTTTTGGATGTTTCCCGACAAAACTGATGACAGTTTTCGATATTCTTTTCGATGTTCGCTCAAAATGACACCAAAGCTCATGTTGCAAATAAGTAATTGATTTTATATCGCATGGCCTGCTATGATCTATATTTCTTAACGTTTTATCCTTTATCGGCCATTTTCTTGACTGATGGTTTCAAAGTCGATATTCTCGCATGTAAGCACAATTCATGTTCTCTCGGGACCTTTTAGCATGAATCTCATGCCCACATACCTCAATTTTTGTAAAACGGGTGTAGCGCAAACAGAGCACAGACATATAACAGTACAGACATTAGCATTTACTCACGCAGTACACTCAATATTGACCGGTAACAGCGTTTATCCGCGACACGCAAAATACTCAATGCTCCTGCGCTCTCTGCCGTAACGGTGGCCCTCCGTGCAGATGGATGTTTCCACGTGCATTTGTTTGTTTGCTAATGAGAGAGTGCCATTCGCGGATATGTATGTATGTTTTCTATGTGTATCGTCTCTATGCCGCATTTGTGGTGACAAATGATGCTTTTTTTAATGGAGCCGAATTACGTGGAGGGCTATTGTTCATGATCATGGAGGATGTTTAACTCAATAAAAGTTTAATTTGATACCGCCACTCGGATTCTTCGTTTGACAAATGTGATAGACATTGCTGTGCAGGGCTTTTCGTCAGCTTTGTAGCCAGGGACATTGTGCTTTTTTAAAGAATAGGTGGTACATGTTGAAATGTTCTGTTTTTTCGGTTTTAGATACTGCGACGTAAAACGTCTTGAATTACTATAAATACAACGTAGAAGGCTGTACGTTGTGACTTAATAGTGCATATATTGGCCACGCAACGAAACTCTTCAGACGTTTGACCATGCACCCACAAAACGGCGGCCCGCGCACACACACACAGAGACCAAGACAAAACCCACCTGACACGCAAATCCTCAACAGCACAAAAATCATCGCACACTCCACACAGAGACGAAAACTCATCCCTCCAGAAGCGATACATATCCGCCAATGGGATCCTCGCATTGACAAGCAAACAAATGTTCGTGGAACCCTCCATCTGTATGGAGGGCCACTATTAGGGCGGAGAGCTCCGGAACATGGAGTGTTTTGCGTGTCGCAAATGAACGTTATTACCTGTCAGTGATGAGTATACATGATGCGTGAATGTTTGCATCTGTAATGTGATATGCCTGTAGTATGTTTGCGCTATACCGATATTACAAAAGCTGATATATGTAGGCTTGACTTCCATGTTAGAATAGTCACGAGATAACTTGAAATTTGCTAACACGCCGTTATATTGACTTTGTCTAGAATCGTCGCTCGAGAAATGTGCGATGAGGGATGAATGGTTGAGAAATATGACTAATACCAAGCCATGCAATATAACAATCTGTATTGTTGTGTCATGAGCTTTGGTGCCATTTAAAGCGAACGGTAAGAAAAACCGAAGACTGTCATCAGATTTATCGCGAAAACGTTAAAAAGGAATCAATGCCAAGTCCACCGGGAGTTTTTCGCAAAACGTGCATATCTATACACACACACACACACACACACACATATATATATATATATATATATATATATATATATATATATATACCTAATATACGTGCTCGACTAGAACGCAAAGCCAGTTTTCTCAAATTCTCCACAACGCCTAGAACTCCTTATTTGAAACGGCGACTGCCACGAACCTTTACACATGACTCCTGCACAGCTCACACACCAAAAAGTAGATCTTGGTCACTTTTGTTTTATACATTTGAGTTTAAACGTTTGTTGAGCAGGCATTGATACTAAGTTGTTTTTATGATATTTGTTTTAGGAGCTCACGATAGGCTGTTTCGATAAGAAATGGTTGTTCATTGCGCTGAAGTGCAATGGGATCCGTGTACCCGAAGGCTGCCTCACATTACAAGTTGAGGCCCATCAGCGTCGCAAAAGCCCAGCTGCAGCCCGCTGCGGAATCATTTTAGATCTGTTAAACACCTGTTGCACGAGTTGCGATTTGCCAATGTACGTGCAATTTCATGTTGCATATGTGGCGGCTATCAACGTAAGGTTCATTGATTGCGGCTTGAACTCGGCATCTTTTAGCTCTGTCCAAGTTATTTCAGGTTTGCTGTGCCCCAAGTGCATGTTTTAGCGTTATGCTCGGTGATGACTAGTCCCGCCATTCATTACAGATAGTTCTAATGTGCGCCAAGGTCGGTACATTTCCCTCTAAATATTCAATCACCGGCTTTGGTTTTCCGTCATGTTTTCTAGCGCTGAACAGGAAATCTAAGAAAAGAGGTATAAAACTGGATGGAACCTCATCGTTTCTGATCCCGTGCAACCGCTGCAACCACGCTTGTGCTTGACTCCAGCGGAATTTGGTCCGATTTGGAATTGTTTCTATGCTGCCTGAATCGGATTGGCATACGCATCTATTGCCTATTCGGCAGAGTCGGATAAAGAATTGATTCGCATGGATGGGAACGAAATCACATTTGCTCACATTTATTTCATTTTGGAAATTTCCTATTCACAAAACGGTTTGACCATAATCTCTGGGGTGATCAGCTTTCCGCTCACAATGTGAGCTGCCCAGCTAGTATGTATTAACATGGAATGAAACACTGGGATTTATACACTACCTGCTTGGTTGGTGGGAGGGACAATGGATGTTGGGTTGGAAATGTTGTGTCGTCAAAGCCTGAACGTTTCATAGCTTTGAAGGTAGGAAAGCTTTTGCTATTAT